CCAACACACTTTCCTTACAGGTTGTATATACCAAAGGGACTCTAACAAAAGACCTGGGCTAAGCAGAAATTTACCTTTTTTTCTTTTTTTAAGGCTTTATTGAGATAATAATCCATATTCTATACAGTTCAGTTCACCCATTTAAACTGTACCATTCAACAGTATTTATTATACGTACTCCAATTAGTACCATTACCCTAATCTAATTTTAGAACACTGTCAATATCTCAAGTGATTTACCTTTTACAGGATGGTTAAATGGTTTGGAGTGGAAAAAAAAAAAAAACACTCATAAGCTAAAATAAAAATGAAAAGACACTTTTAATGAGATAAAAATGTCCCCAGCGTGAACTAGCTCTGTCTGTTGGAAGGTATGTATTTTAATGACATATGAAAGGCATTCTTCCCATTTCTAACTTCAGTTTAGAAGGTGTCATAATTTAACATAGGCTACTTCTCAGTAGTGATTTCTACAAAATGCAAATAGAACCATTTGTCCTACCCTTCAAATCTATCTTTTTCCTCTTCCTTTTAGCTTTTTTTCTATCATTTCTATTATTCTGATAATACTTAGGCATATCAACAGCCATTTGCTCTCTTCCTCTCCAAACTCACCTCCATCTCCAGCTTTCTGGGTCACCTGCCAGGAGTATTAACTGTATTTGCTTAGGGTAAATACCTAGAGCTCCTCCCTCTCAGCAGGTCCAGAAAGTGCCTTACAAAACCAATAGCACAGAAAGATGGGACATCTTCCATTATCCATTAGACACAAGCCAAATTAATTTTAAATTGGTAATTCTAGGAGAAGCCCCCCCAGCTGGACTAACACAGATATGCTTCATATTCTCCACTGTTAATATTCAGGGGAAGTTTTAATTCCTGGGGGCAAGGGCTTGTAATTATCTGCTATGCATAGGACTTTGCTGAGAAGCAAGGTGGGGACTCAAAAATGCTAGGAGAAAACACAGCTTACCAATCACACAAATTTTGTTATGCTGTAGATCAAAATAAAAGAATTTTGGAACATTACCAAGCACAACTGCTCGAAAGAAATGTTTTCTGAATGATGACAAAATAACATCTAGTATTTATTGTACACCTACCATGTGTCATCTGCTGATCTATATGTTTTACATTGTCATTTAATCCTTACAAAAACCCAAGAGTAGGTACTAACATCAGCGGTGGCAGCAGCAGCATCCACATTTTAAAGATAGGCAAACTGAGGCGCAGAGCATGATGTAACTTGCTCAGGTTACAAAATGGCAGCCAGAATTCAAAACCAGATTTTGGCTTCTGAGCTCACATTCTAAACCATTACCCTACGCTGCCCATCAGGAAATGAGGCAAAAAATGGTTAACGTGCAGCACAGATGCCAGTCTATTCTGTCTCTAATGCCAAGGAAATAAAGAAGAGCCACAGGATATAGTTGTAATAATAGTATTTTTTAGATTGGACAGGAATACAGCAATTATGTAGCGACTACAGCCAAGGTTCCTTAAGAGTAAGAAAGGCTAATGAGGGAGAGTTAACCAGCTGAGATGGAAAAATGGCAAAAAGCAAGAGAAAGTGGATGAACTAAACCATTTGAAGAATTAAACTATCAAGAGCCATGTTTCTAATAGATACCCTGTAAACACTCAGGAACAATCATATTGGCCAAAGGGTAAGCTCAGCTCTGCAATGGAACTGTAAGCTGTAAGCAATTTCATTAGAGTAAAACTGGTCTGATGCAAGAAAGTGCTAACAGCATTTTCTTGGTCTGCATCTAGGTTTTGTTTTTTTTTTTTAAAAAAAGACAGGTAAATAGCAACCTAAAAAAGCTACATATGAAACAAAACTACCAGAAGATATTATGAAAACTCATCCAAAAGGAAAAGTTTCATCCCAAGATTATACTAATATCATAATCTAAATTCATCTTTACTTTGCATGCATATTACTGCTGAATTGGCCTCCATCAGACCCAAAAGTGACCTAAATCAGCAAACGGACTGGTCCTGCATGAGGAAGAGCTAGTCACAGCCCTCAAACAGGAGTTATACTTGGCTCTTCCTTGAGGCCACAGCTCTACCATGTGTACATGCATTCAAGGAAGGATGAGCAAAATCATTCTGAGCATTCAAGACACAGGAATGAACAGAAATGAGAGCCGTACACACATCTAGCCTTCTAAGATAATAGTGGGGATCTGCAGGGCATTTTAAATTGGCAATGGCAAAGGCTGTAATTTTCTGCTAAAGGGATATTATCACAATTTTCAAGCTGGGTTTGAGCCAAGGCTCGTAAGAGTGCTCATTCTTAATGCAACATCACACCTAACACTTTGCTATGGTGTTGCACACAGCCAGATTATAATCCTGGCTCCTCAGATCTTTGGAGTTAATCACTTCCAAACGGAGCTGAACACATTAAATTAGCATGGTAAATTAGAGTGGTTTCTATCCATACACATCCCCGTCCCCATGTAGTCCTCTTTGTCAGAAGAGAAAAATAAAATAACCACATTATCTCCCCCTGTTCCATCACAAATACTCAAATGGCTTTGACAAACTTCTATTAAATTTTGAAATATAAAACTGAGCCCCTAGATGAAAACAAATCACAGTGAGGTAAAGGAGACACAAATATGGCGAGCTGTGCTAATAAAGGCTATGCAAACATACAAGTCGTCCAGGTAATGGAGCCTGAGAAACGCTATCATTATGTGATGGTGAAGAAATTAAACTTTTCCTTTAGTGCTACTTATATCTTGATTTTTTTCTGCACTTCAAGAGAAGGCAATGGCACCATTTAATAGGCTGACCATCTAGAACCCATCTGCCAATTGTTTGCTAAACTTTCCTTAGTGACTAAAATTACATACCCAGCTTTAATATGTACCTTCATGCACCACAAATATCCTCTGGTAGATTACTAATGGATGCTCTTTCTTCTTTTTAAAATGTACCTAAATATGGCTAATTTTTCCTCTTTCACCAGGCACTCTCAGGAGGCACCTGGTGTTCCAACAAAGCCATATGAATCACTTAAGGGAAAATATACTAAATCAAGGCTAAGGAGACAAGGGCAAAACTACTTTGGTGAAGAAGCAGCTGTCTCTCTGGTTAGCTGCAAGGGGAAGAGTAAGGGAGTCAGAGAGAACAGACCCTGTTTCAGACTGCACCTTGAGCTTGAAAGCAGGTATCACATGAATATATAACATGGCAAATGTCTTAATTTAACTACAAATTGCCAACAAAGGCCTTTGTGATTTCTTCTACAGGACTGTACCATACGAGAAGTGTGATGAAGGAGAGGGGGATGGAGAAGGGGCGGGGGAACAGAAGAAGGGAAGAGAAGATAATGGTGAAGATCTATGATGCAGATTATTCCTCAAAACATTCTTTTTATTTATCCCTAAAATCTTGACATGTGCTTGCCACTTCCCACTAGAGAATTAAGCAAAAGTATAGCTGCTCAGTAGAATAATATGTTTACCTATCTGGAAGAATAACTTCATGGATATATGATAATTATATCTACCAACTTTAATAAAATCTCTATATGCCATCTGATATTTAAATGGGTTTTCAGGGTCTTAAAAAGCTTTTGCCAAAAATTAACAATTATCAAATAACTTACTTTTTCACTGTAGCTGAAACAGAAAAAAAAAGCCATCTGCCTGATTATTTTTTTTAATGAACTAAATTTAGATTTCAATTTTAAAATAGGTTTTGACATAAACTGCTTTAAAATAACAAGAGCATCTTACATTTGGGTCTTTTCCCAGTTAATTGTTTGCTGGCATTATACTAGAAATTCCTTGGCTTCACCTTAAACCAACCATCCTAAGTGCTAATTTGGAGACGATATATATTATTAACCAGAGAATGTTGTGCTTAAAACACGCATGCTGCATATATACACTATTATTAACATATTCCCTTCCCTCCTTGAAAAGTTTTCTGCAGAAAATAGAGCCCTTGTTTAAACAAGGAAGTGGGCTGTCACTGAGGGAATTCTTGTCAAAATGTAATTAACAGGTAGGGGCCAAGATGACACAGGATCCTTATCTTACAAACGTCCTTAGCGTGAATCAAATTTAATCTCATGGAGATAAGTCAGTGGAGGGAAAAGTTAATGACTACAGATGTTATACATTTTAATAATACCAGAGGACTCCCAAAGAGAATGGCCAACTCTAAAATGAACTAAACCACCACTAAGAAACCAGACCCGTCGGTGAGTTCAAGCCCCAGACATGCCTTTTTCCAGCGTTTTCACTTGCCCAAAGGCCAAGGGACAGATGGGAAAATAAACACATGTAAACATGGTAGACCTAATGATGCCCTAATTGCAAAGGAAATATTATCTTCTCATTAATTGGCAAGCTAATTGACCAAAATCTCAGTTTCAGAAATCAAGTCCAATAATCCAAGCTTTGGTAGCCATACTCCAGAGAATTCTCCTCACACTTAGCACACCCTTCATCCAGCCAAAGCTGTCAGTTCTGCTTGATTTGTTTGAATACTGTACTCGACGACAGCTGTCGGAAACAGTACATTAGAACAGCTGCTGTGACAGCTACAAGGGGCTTGGAAGTTTAATTGGGCTGAATGTGACATTGTGCATTTTTCTAAACATAGAAATATCCACAAAACTAAGACGTTTCTAATGAGTCTGAACAAAGCTCACTTATAGGCACCACCAATGGGTTAACCTTCAGTTTGAGTTATATTACTGCTCTCGTAATATCCTGGCCACCAGCTTGGGAAGGTTATTGGGGAAAAAGAAAACAGTAGGAGCAGTTAGATGCACAAGAAAAGGGGCATTAAGCGGGAAAGGAAATCACGTCAATAATCTCTTTCAAAGGCTGGCTGGTAGCCAAGGAGGTTCCCATAGTGTCTCAGGATTTACTTCCAAAGGAAATGTATTCAGAGGCCCCGAGCCTGGTGTCAACTGCAAACCAAACCATTCATTACAGTTACAGCCCCCCAGAGAAGGGAGAATGGCTTACTCTCAGCGTCGGCGCGGAGGAAGAAAGCGAGGAGCAGCAACAGCGGCCTGGCTACGTGCGCCATCCTGCAGCGTGGTGGCAGCATGCTCGGGCAGCTTGGAATCACTGCCTCCGAGGCCGCAGGGAGTCTGTCCGTCTGAAATATCAGCTGGAACACTTTCAGAGCCTGCAAGGGGCGAGGCAGAGAAAGGAAGGGGAAGAAAACACAAAGATGCTTAGATTCCTCACTCTCTCCCCCAGTTGCACCACCACCACCATGAGGGCCACAAGCCATTGTAAACACACAATATACAGTAGCCAGGATGCCTTGGTTTGTAAAATGTGAGCGCCCTGGTGTCTCTGGTTCCCATTCTCAGGCTATCCTAAAACCAACCACCTTACATTTCACTCTCTGCCTGTGTCACCTTTTGGGCCACGGACTCTGTGAAGGAGCTGTCGCTTCTGATGAAACAATATGTGGATACATCAGTGGGAGAAAGCATATCATTGTGCTAAGAAAGATTTAAAAGAAGTTCCATCTTGCGGGATAAAAGTCTTTTATTGATAGAATAATGGAAGTTGCTTTCTTGGCACCAGATGAAATGACAGGGCTAATTCAACTTCTCTAGCTGAATGCTAGAGGCTAGAATTTTTACACTAGCACATTTGGCATCTCCCCTGAAGACACATCAACATTCAAGTCTAGTTTGGCGTCAATAAGTCAAAACAATAGTTAGCATGAGCCTCTTTGCTTTAACAGGATTTTTATATGCCTCCTGGGCAAAGGCTTGCTTTTCTCAATCTTCCATGTAAAATCGATATGCTATAAACTATTTTTAGAGAGCCTACTGCGTGCAAGACAACAAAGACTGTCTTAGTACCAAGTGTCTGAGGTACAAAGATGAGTTAGATTCCATCTTTGATGAGTTCCAGGTTAGGAGGGAAAATAAGACAGGTACATTGCATGACTAGTACAAGTTAATAAGTGATAAGTGCCGGTAATGAAAACCAAATAATACCATAAAATTTAGGATCAGTAATAGCATCATGGAAAAAAATAGCATCTTAAACTGAGCCTTGGAAGTACAGGCTAAATATTAACAACATGAGGGCAAGGTATTCCAGGCATTTGATGCAGGCAGTGGGAAAGGCATTTTGGAAAAGGTCAGTTGCCTGGTTTGCCTGGAGCAGGGCTTCCCAAACGTCAGCATACATCAGAATCACCTGAAAGGCTTGTTAAAACAATTGGGTACCATCTCCAAAATCTGTGGTTCAGTAGGTCTAGGGTGAAATTGTCAGATGGTGCAAACAATTACCATGCTTGGCTGCTAACCAAGTCCACCCAGAGGCACCTCTGATGAAAGGACAGCCAATCTACTTCTAAAACATCAGTCACTGAAAACCCTATGGAGCACAGCTCTACTTTGACACGCATGGGTCAGAGTTGACTTGATGGTAACTGGTATGGCATGGTAAGTCTGGGGTGGGCCCAAGAATTTGCAGTTCTAACAAGTTCTTGAGTGATGCTGATGCTGTTGGTCTAGGCACCACACTCTGAAAACTACTGGGTTAGAGTGATTGATCCATTGAGAAACTAGAAGAAGATCAGGAAAAGAAAATGGTTCAAGCTAAAAAATAAAAAATAGGCCATAGATTGCCTTGGATGTCAGTCTAGTCAACCCGCCTTCATTCAGCAAACCACAAGAAGAGCCATTTAATATTCCGGAGAAGAGGAACAACATGGCACCAGGCTTTGGGAAGAGTAACTGGCAACTGAATGTGGGATGACACAGAGAATGGTATTACTAGGCCACAGCAAGAGTCCCAGGCGAAAAGTAATAAAAGTGATGGTGGTCCTGCTGGGAACAGAAAAGAAGGGAAGTCGTGACTGACTAGCTCCAAGCAGTAATTTGAAGTATGACTCTTCAGATGATAAATAATTGTTCCTATAGAACTTTCAATAATTCTAGAACAGCATCTTATACAAAGTGGGCTATTGCTCCCTTATCATTGAGAATGTGTGTCAGAATTAGTTTGCTAAATAAAATTGTACACCTTTAATTTTTTGTCTATTGTTATATTTGAACTACACAGACAAAAGTCTTGACAGGAAATACTAGAGATACCCAGAAATAACCTAATCCACTGAAATAACTTGTACTTTAAAAAGAATTGTAATGCAGATACTATAATGCATCTTCCCTGAAACTGAGCTTGAACATGAGAATAAAAATAAAAAAGATATTATCTTTTTCATTACTATGCATGAGTGGTTTGCATGCAGGAAAGATAAAAACTAAAAGGAAGGAAGAAAATCATTCTAATTATCATTCCATGAGATAGCTTTTTTTTTTTTTTAACAGATTTGTGGGTGGCACGAAGAAGCCAATCACACATTGAAACTCATCCACTTAAAACCAAAAGCTAACCAGCTGCTCCAAATCAGCTATTGTTATCAATCTCATCTGGCAAACAACTTATCAAGCAGCAGTCCACTGCTATCAAATGGTAAAAATCTCCACTCTTTACAAGAGAAGTGCTAAAGGAATCGGCTCAGCCCCCCGCTCCTCCCCCTTGCACCGCTACCATCCTCCTGCCAGCGTTTCATATGACAGCAAAGTCCAGGAGACATCAGTCCTGTCGGACTCAATTTGTGTCTTTGGAAGCATATCAGAGCCAACTGCTACATAATGACTCCGTGTGATCACAGAGATGGAGACGTATGAAATGCTCGCTCAGGGAAGAGGTGGTTTGGCTTTGCCTCCTACTCAACTGAAGAAGCCTAAGAAGACCAAATTCTTCCCAATGAACCTACAAATGTTCCCTCTGGTCTTGAACAGCCATACACTCTAGCACTCTCACAATGCACGCACATATACACATATATATATTTATATTTAAACGGGCTACGTCCTTGGCCAAGATACAGTAGGAGATCAGAGATGTGAGGATAAAATCTAGATGTTCATTCCAGCCACTCCCCACTCCATATCTTGTTCAGGACACGGAATCATGGCCAAAAGGGAAATGTTGCCTCGCATATTAGTCAGGTGGCATTTAAATTTTAGAACAAAAATGGGAAATAGATTCTTAAGAAAATATTTAAAGTGAAAATACTACGAGGATGAACGAATGTTACAAGTCGTTCCCGTTACCCTCTAAGAAGGGTTGCCAAGCATTCTGAAAGAAGAGCAAGAAAAAGGAGTGGATGGGTATGAAAAGTGCCATGTTTCAGCTTACATCACAAATTCTCCTGCAGATGTCCAGTAGCCCTCAGCAAAAACCAATTCCTTAATTTTATATATTTTTACCCTTTGTGTCTTTCATTAACAACGACATACAGATAAAACTGAGCCACTTCTATGAGTTTAAAATGTAAATAAATAAAAATAAAACCTCTGGTTTCTTATTTCTCACAGCACAAAGATCTTATGGAATTCTGTTTTGATCTCCAGTTGGCCAAATATTTAATTTTATATTTAGGGACTTGTGTAGTTAGAGCAGCTATCAGTTTGCAGGGTCATGTATTATGGAATATAATTTAAAATGGAACAAGAAAGAGTGCACTTGCCTAAAAGCTTTAACAAATCACTGCTTTAAGTAATCACATAAGCTGACACCTATCCAACTCTCTGTCTCCAACTCAAGAGTATAACCATTTGTCGTAATAACCTCATACATACTCAAACTAATATGATGTGGAAGGATCTTTTTTCAGCTTTCTCTATTATTGATATGTGTTTCTTTAGACTATGTTAACACAAGCGGGGAGAGGCAAAACGAGGCTTCTCTTGTTGTAAAAATATCTTAAGAGTTCCACAGAGAAATAGCTGTTTGTAGGTTTGGTACAGAAAATGTACAAAATGAGTGTGGAACATTCTGCCATTCTAGGAAGCAAGGAAGCTATCAGGGACTACTAGGTCATATCACCCACTAAAAAAAGGCAAAAAAAAAAAAAAAAGGCCAAAAGAAAGGGACTCCCAACAGCCAAATGTGGGAAAAATCTGAGCAGCAAAAAAGAATAATAACTGCAACAAATTGAAACATATCATGTTAAAATACATGAGTTCATAGTTTTAAATATAATCTTTAAAAAATGCACTGGTCACCCTTGGAGGAATCTAGAGAACCAAATCATTATTCTGCAAACAGGGAGAGGAACAGAAAGAATTAAGCATAAATATATATATCTATATCTATAAGAACTTAAAAAAACAAAACAAAATAACTGCTGATATCCCTAGTAGAAAACTAGGTATCATTAAGTTATCTCTAAATATTTTGCTTCTTTTTTGTCTTAAAATAAACCATTATTCTCAATTCTAGACATTTTGGAAGCAAAAACGTTATAATGACATTTAACTTTAGCATAAATCCATTCAGATATCTATTAAATTGGACGGATGGTGTGGGGAGGGACAAGTCACAAAATTCTGAGTTATTTCTACCAATCTCCCAAACCAACCAGATCTCTATAAATCTACTAGAACAAGCTTCCAGTTATTTAAGAAAACGAACCATTTGTGTAAAAGATATGTTTCCAGGAAGCTCCAATTTGTAAAACAGATAAAAACAGGGCTAATCTGGCTGAAGCTAGAAGGAGGGGCCTGATGCCTACAGTAAGCCTGGTAGAGGCCTCTGAGGGCGCCCTTAATTCCCTATGCACTCAATGTGGAGTTACAGCACAGCACAGGAGAACAGAAATACAGAGATATTTCGACATTACAATAATCAGTATGGATACCTTAAAGAACTCTTTAAATGTTCAGTTATAATACATAGAAACAAGTCTCTGGGTGGCCCAAACAGTTAAGCGCTCCACTACTAGCCAAAAGGCCAGTGGTTCAAACCCACCAAGAGGCTTCTCAAAAGACAGGCCTGACAATCTGCTTCCAAAAGGTCAGAGCCTTGAAAACGCTACGAAGCAGTTCTCCTCTTATGGGCATGGACTCGCCATGAGTCAGAATCGACTTGATGGTAACTAACAACCACGATAGTAAAAAGAAAAGCCCACAGCTATTCGTCCGAACTCTGTATAGTATGATTCAGTCTGCAAATTACTATCAATAGCATCTCTATACTTCAACATTTCACTTATCCATGTGGGTATTCAAAGAGAAGACAGTCCCCTAAATATTTCATCCTGATATAGGACAGGAATCCCCCAACACTGTCCAATCAAACTTTCTGCAATGACAGAAATGTTCTTTATTTGGGCTATCCAATAATTGA